AATACCTCTGGTTGGGACCAGCAGTTAGCATAATGGCTATGTTGCTGGACTCCCACATAGTCGACCGTGGTTCAAGTCCCGGACCCGACTGCTTAAACTCATGCCGGGTGCATGTGTGTGCGTGCCCAAGATCCCGAGAGGAGAATGGAGGAGAAGGGATTGTGGTGTGGCCATCCCCCCTGGGGGGTGATTTCTCACTTTCTGTATGTCTCTCTCCGTTTGTCTGGCAAGCGCACACGCCCTATAGCAAAAACCTCTCCAAAAAAAAAAAAAAGAAAAAGAAAATACCTCTGGCAAGATCCAAATGTCACTGGCACTATGGGATGAATTGAGTTCATCTCAATTTTTCTCCTATGTTTAGTGATAGTAACTCAGATATAGAAATTTGAATTTTGGCCCAGCTGCAGTGGTGCACAGGTATTACTACTACTTAGGAGACTGAAATTCACACGGAAGGCACAGGTTCAGTCCCCAACCCAACATGAGTATGCCAGATGTGGTTGTACACACTAGTAGTCCTAGCTAATGGGGAGGCTAAGACAGGAGCATCATAAAACACAATGGGACCTTATCAAAACTACCTATCTTGGTCTAGCTAAGTGGCCTAGTGGTTAAGGGAGTCAGATCCAACATGACTGCAATTTGAATTCTGGTCCAGTGAGTTAAAAAATAGACCAGGTACATGTACATGCATGCCCCAAATACTAACAAGGAGAAGAAATGGAGAAGGGATTATAGTGTGACCACACCCCACTGGGGGGATGCATTCTTTCTCTCCCCATCTTTCTCTGGCAAACACATGCACACTCTGCACAATGTTTATCTCCCTTCTGCCCATCTCTCAAAAAATTAATTGGACTTTTGATTTAGTGGGGTGAAACAAGTAATTCTGAAGTAATGGCAGCACTTTCATTCTAGAAAGGCCATGGGGAGCAAAGAGGGTGCTAGCAATGAAAAGCCTGGAGCCACTTGAGGCAACACATATAGTACAGTAAAAACTATTTAGTCTATTTCACTTTTCCAGAGAGAAGCTTTCAGATTTCTTAAACTGTATGAAACGCTTTTAAGACTAACTTCACTTAGGGACCAGCAGGTAGCATGGTGGTTAAGGCGCTGGACACTCCCATATGGCTGACCAGGGTTCAAGTCCTGAATCTGGTGGCTTGCTTTCTCACTTTCTCTCTCTCTCACCCTCTGTCTCTCTCTGGTCAAACTAAAAAATAAATGAATGAATGAAAGACTAACTTCACTTAAACCTAATCCTCAAGAGCCTCACCTTTCATCTCTGACTTACAATTTATTGTCACAACTAGTGGTCATACCTATGATGGAGCTGTTAAGCAAATAGGGATAGCTGACCCTAGTCAAATTCATGAAGGAGGCAGTTCTATTTCTCTATTTGAATTCTAGCAGGGTCTTAAAATGCCTTAATCTAGCAAGCATTCCCCAACAGGAAGATTGTATTTTGTTTTCATTTTAAAATCTCACGCAGGAGGTTGCTATCATGGCACAACTTTCTCAGAGGTCAGGAAGTCAATGGAAAGGGAGCTGGTCAGCTAGTGGACACCTAAGGGATTTTACTTTTGTTTCCATTTTCAATCCTGGCTCATCTCCAGGAGTAATCCCAAGGATTTGGGGGAAAGGGGGAATTAGTTTTTCTTTACAAATGTTTTAGATTTTGCTATAGGGCAGGCATGTTTGCTTGTGGGAGGTCAGGGAGAAGGGGCAGAAGGGAGACAGAGAAGGAAATTACTGCCCCCAGGGAGGATAGCCATACAATAATCCCTTCTTCTCCATTCTCCTCTACAGATTTTGGGAACATATGCCTGGTGTATTTTTCATGCCCAGTGTATTTTTCAAGCCACCATGTCCAGGACTCAAATCACTCAGTTGGCTATGTGGGATCCAGCTGCTTTAAGTTTTATGCCACCTGCTAGCTCACAAGTAAGTTTTAAACCTTTTCCCCATCTTAAAGGAATGTCTGGTATGGGAATGTATCTTGGGTGGAATCTTTAAACACACCATATAGGGCTCCCCAAAGGCAAACAAAGCTCTTTGTTCAGCTCATGTGGGCTAGACACTCTATTAAGAATGTATTGGGGCCAGCAGGTGGCATGGTTAAGGCACTGGACTTCCATGTGGCTGACTTCAATTCGAATCATGGCCCCAGTGGCTTAAAACTTACACTGCATGTGTGTACAAAATCCTGAGAGGAGAAAGGAGAAGGGATTGTGGTATGGCCATTCCCCCAAGGGTGCTTTCTCATTTTCTGTCTCCCTATCTCTGTCTCTCCAGCAAGCACATGTGCCTCATAGCAAAAATCTCTCTCTCGGGACCAGCAGTTAGCGTAATGGCTATGTCACTGGACTCCCACGTGGTCGACCACAGTTCAAGTCCCGGACCCAGTGGCTTAAACTCACGCCGGGCGCGTGTGCGTGTGTGCCCAAGATCCTGAGAGGAGAATGGAGGAGAGGGGATTGAGGCATGGCCATCCCCCCTGGGGGGGGTGATTTCCTGCTTTCTGTCTCTCTGTCTCTGTCTGGCGCGCGCACGTGCCCTATAGCAAAAACCTCTCCAAAAAAAAGAAAAAAAAATATCTCTCTCAAAATCAAAAGGAATGAATCAGAAGGGATGGGTCCTTATGAAAAGGTTCTGAGTTTGTGTCTCTGGACTTCTCTAAGCATGCTGGGCCCATGATCCAGGCTGGTCGAGACTGGAGGTAGATGGTGGTGTGAAGGCCTTGTTGGGGGTTCCTGTCTCACTCTCTCTCTTGCTCTCTCTCTCTCACACACACAGAAGAAATAAATAAATAAACTTTAAAAGATAAAAGGAGGACAATTGTGATCCTTTCTTTATTTCTCATGCTAAGAGATATGGCAGGGGGGGTGGAGGCTGAAGAAAAATAGTTTTCTGCCCTCCCACTCTTACTGAATGCATGGTATTATCTCTAATCCTGCTCTGTAATAGATTAACAGTTGGGAAAAACAAAAAACCCAAAACAATACAAACAACACGGGTGGACTGGAACTGGTGGTAGGGGGGTTAGATAATTTTAAAAAAAGACACTGACAAAAATTTTTTTTTACAACACTATAATTTTAAAGTTTAAGGCACATCCTTGGCAGAAATATGATCAATTGCATGCTCACAGAAAAACAAACTACTGAATATCTTGACTACAGTAGATGAATATTGCACAACATTATCCACTGCTGTTTTGGGTACCAAACAACCAATGTTTAACAACGTTTAGCAAAATAATTCTTTAACTAAAAACATAAGGTTGAGACATCTGGTTTTGGCTACAAAAGGCATTAGTTATCAATGCCATTACAAAAGCTCTTTTAATTGAAAATAAGAATTCAGGCTTTGTATTTTATCTGATTACTCACACACCACATTGAGGGACTGCAGAAAGTTAATGTAAAAATAGATAATAATTTGGCATGAATCTATATTTTTACCATTTGATAAAATATTTTATTAAAAATACAGAAAAGAAAACAAAAAAAACCTCAAAGGGAATGATTACAGGAAAGTCTTATTTTTTTTCAAGATAACAGGTAAACAGACGCCTCACCCAAAGAAAATAACAAAATAGAGAAAAAATAAATATTAAGAAAAATCATTTTAAAGCATGATTTTTCAGTAATGAAAGATATTCCCTAACATATATTTTTTTATTTTAGGCTGTGTACAGAGAAGATATGCACATTTAAAATTTGGGAGAACATCTTCTCTACAGTGCTATTTTAAGCATTCTGTATATCTTGAATAAAGAATAATTTTAAAAAAAATTAAAGCACAATATAAAATTATTTGTTCACAGGGCATCTAATTTAACATTCTAAAATGTTGGTACTAACTAAACTAGGAAAAATAACATTTCTACTTTCACAACTGTTACCTATCCTTCTTTAGACTATATCACTAAATACTCTAGTTATATTTAAATCTTCGAAATTCAAAAGGCATCTTTGGATATTTAAGTGAAAGGTGCCCCATAGTTGAGTCTGAACTGGCAGTGGATATCAAAGTGCCATTGTTATCTTCAGACTGAGGGCATGGTTGCTGAATGAATACAGAGTTTGGTAAAGGATGTATAAGTAAAGAATTTCAAATATTCAAATATCAAATTCAAATGTAAGTCCATCTTTCTCTGTATAGGAATACAAGAGTTTATGTGTGTGTGTGTCTGTGTGTTTATATAAATGTATGCATGTGTGTATGTGAATAAACATACACACATAAAATTTATCCTCACAAGCAACCAGTTACATAAAGCTAGTTACTGACTGAAGGCAATGTTTTGGATCCCTTCCATAAATCACCTTTCTCTCTCTCCTGTAAAGCCAGTTTCTCTCTAAAGCTAATGGGAGTTCAAGATTATAAGAGAAACTCGTGGTAGAGAAATTCAAATGCGACTACAGATATTTAAAGCAGGATTCTCTAAATAGCATGTTTTCTGTTCTTTAATAGTTGAATTATCCTTCATTATTCTCAGACAATAAGCTGCTACTCCCACTGTCCTATAACATGCATGTGGGGCCAAGAGGATGATTCAAACACATGCATAAAAATGAAAGTAGTAACTAGCTATCTTCAATTCCATGAGGGGAGGGGGAGAGATGGATGTTTCTTTTTCAATTTGGCTCTAGAGTGAGGAAAACTTATTATACATTTGTCATATCAGCTGTTTTGTCTAGAAAAAAAAAGTTGTGTTATGATGGGCCACTAGAATTAAAATAAGAAACAAATATTAAAAGTCAAATCAGAAGCATGAAAGATGGAATAGGCATTGGTCTAAAAAAGAGCCTAGACATACAAACTCATTCATACTTTATTAAAACGGGTTTGCCTTTCTAGATTAATAGCACCTTCATCAAATGTTTCAGTTCTCTAAGACAGCTAAGATAGAAATGAGATCTTTCCCAAACCTGAAAAAACAGCATGGAATAATGTAAACATGTTTGTATGTATATAAAAGGATAAAAGTGAAAGGGGTAGGAGAGGAAGAACTTCATCTTCCACTTCCACCTGATTCTAGACTTTGCTCTATAAAAATGATTCTTAGTATTTATTACTGACTTCAAGGGGAGGAAAAAAAAACCCTCACATTTATTGAATGTAAATCTTATGTCTCACACATTGTGCTAGCAGCTTTGCCTAGGGCACCAGGAATAGAATGTTAGAAATTTATTTATGAGTTCTCTTCATTTATTGCAATTAACAAGGAAATGTAAATAGTCACATAGTATAAAGTCTCTGATCAGCACATTATTGATAGCTCCCAAAGGAACTTTTAAATCCACATGACAATGGGAACAAGCCCCTAAATCTGCCAACCACCTCAACTAAACAGGTGTAAATGGTTTAAAGTAGAGAAAAGTATGTATTTGGCTAAAAAATATCACAACCCAGAGAAATTCTAATTTTTGTATTATAATTTACTGTATTTTTTGGTAAAAGCAGGTTTGTGTAGTAGCATTAAAGTCATTTTGAGAGGTTATCTGAAATATTAAAAGATAACTAAACATCTATTAAGTTATATATACCAGCAAAATTATTTTACTCCATCATTCTATTCAAAGAAAGATAAATTTAGTGAATCCAGGAAATTTTATATGACCCGTATATGTTAAAGATTAACTGCTAATCTTTAAAAATCTTTTGAGAAGAGACTCAAAATATTGTGGACTGAGACAGACTAAGAACAACTGAGAGCTGAACTCAGCAGGAGTGAATTAAAAGCTAGCACAGAGCTAGGGAGGTTGAAGGAAGAATTTAATATATGTTTTTACAACAGTGGAGAGATGGGAGGCAGGGAACCCTAAAGACCCTTAAGGTCTTTCAAGCTACAAAAAAAAAAAAAAAGGAACAAAATATTAGGAAAGTTGTTAGTTATTTTTGTGAACGAAAAACAGCTATACGTGAATCAGTCAAATGAAAAGATATGACATGCTGGAATATCTAAGAAAGAAACCACAAGGGTAAGTACACAAAGGGAATAAGGAGGAGAGAAAGCCTGCGATAAATAAGGCACATCTATTTTTAAACAGTTTCAATTGTTTCCCTTCCAGGACTAGATGCTTTATACAGTGCTTTGAAAGTCATTGCTCCTTGAAGGGGTAGGAATACAGGCTCAAGAAAATCCCCAAGGTCATGCTCTCAAATCTTCAAATTTTTAATTACCATCTTTTTTTTTTTGGTCAAATAAAAATATTATCTACCACTTTAGCAGCAATTCAGCGATGTCTAATTGTGGGCTTATTATAAACTTCATTGCTTTACCTTTTCTGTTGCTAATGAAAAAAAAAAAAAAACAGAAAATGATTTTAAATAAAGCCAGGTTCAGAACTGAAGCCCTGAAAAAGATCTTTTTTGCCTGCAAATGCAACTGAAATAGTAATACCTAATATAAGAAGAGCATGAGACCAACATAAAATCCTCCCACAATATTTTGATAAGTGTAGGTGGTGTCATGGTACTGTGTCAGTGCATAAAGAGTTTAACCAGCAGGCCTTTTACAGTGCAGTGTCATCATCTTCCCTGAAGTCTCCTACTAGGAGTGAGTGCTTGTCAGGTTCACTGGTGACAACGCTGTTTAAGGAACGTTTGTCAGACAACAGTGAATTTATGGAGGCTCTGCTGTAATTAACAATGCGGTCCAGCAAACCCAGTTTAGGAGAATTTCTTGAGGTGTCATCTATTCCAACGTGGACACTAATTTCTGAAGGACTCCTCTGGATAATCTGGCTCCGGGCATGCAATTCATAATTCTCATAAGTTGGTTTCCTGTAACTGGACACATGCAAAAGTATGCAAAAGTAAACCGGTTTAAAATAAACAAATGTGACCTAGAAGCTTGTTATATACAAAAATGAAAGGACATTTGCCTGGTTTGAAATGCACAAAGGTGCTCACTGAGAGGTAAGTAGTTCAACATGTAGTGTGCAGACTCACATGCTCAGAAACTCAAACTTCTCAAAGCCAGTGTACTAGGTATTAATCCACTCAGTGCTTGCAGTTACTATGCAAAACTACATGAAATGATGAGTACTTAGGTAAATACTATTAATTATTAGCTAATAATGATTCTTATTAAGAATGGTTTGGGCTTATCATTGATCAGTAAAAGAATAAAACCTACTAATATTTACTGAAGATGTTAAAATGAATAAAGAATATAAGCATGAGCAAGCCATCACACTTACAGTTTAAGGAAGAGAGAAGAAAGTACTACAGAAACCGATGAAGCAGCCATCGCTGCTGATCCCATCCAGGGTTGCAAAACCAGACCAATGGGCATAAAAACTCCTAGGAAACAAGTTTGGATTCGTTAAGAGTAGACAATACAAACCAGATTACCAATGTGTTCCTAACACACGTATACAAAGCATTTCTTTCTTTGATATTTCTTCAGCATTTTAACCTCTTGGTAGCAGAGATTTATGCCTAATAGAGTGTTGCTGTGAATACTCTTATACATGTCTCTATGTGCCTACATTTGAGAATTTCTCTAGGGTATGCACCTTAGGGAAAAACTGCTGATAAATAGCTTTGTAACTGTTCTCATGTCATTTCTTGTCTTTCTTTGACTCTCAAACCAGAGAGAAGGTGGTGATAACTATTTCTCTTTGGTCATTACTAAGTTCTACCAAGTCCCTATTGTTAAGAGATTCTCAGATATTTATTAAACAATGCTAAATTGCTTTTTCTTGATGATATTCCTTCATTCAACCTCTTGCTCAACTGGTCTCTCACCTAAAAAAAAATAGCTGTTAAAAAAATAGCTGTTAGGACCAGCAGATAGTGTAATGGTTACGTCTCTGGACTCCCACATAGAAAACCATGGTTCAAGTCCCAGGTCCAGCAGCTTAAAATTCATGCCAGGCATGTGTGCATGCATGCCCAAAATCCTGAGAGGGGAACAGAAAAGAAGGGATTGCGGTGTGGCCATATCCCATGGTGGGGGCGGGGGGGGGCCTTTCTCATCTGTCTGTCTTTCTGTCTCTCTGGCAAGCACATGTGCCCTACAGCAAAAATCTCTCTCTTAAAAAAAAACAGCTTTTGACTCCATATGCTATAATCACAACTATGTCATTAAATAAAAGCAAATGCAGAATAAAAAAAACTGAAGGAAACATATGTTAACAGTGCTAGTGATTGGGTAGTGAGATTAAAGGTAAATTTGTTCTGTTCAGCAAAAAAATGAATAAATAAATAAATGAGTGTGTGTGAGAGTATATGGAGAAAGAGAGAAACAATGTGGCAAAATATCAATTGGTGAGTTTAGGTGAAGTAGTATATAGATTCTAATTGTATCTTTTTTTTTTCAATGTTTATGTAGGTTTGAAATTTTTCAAAACATAAATTTGGAGAGAAAAAGGAAAGAAAAGAAACCTTTCAGAATGGCCATACATTCTTAGGCCATAATGTGCATTGCTAAAAATAAAAAATTGTTGATTTTAACATTACTTCTCACCATACTTTTTTTTTTTTGGAGAGGTTTTTGCTATAGGGCATGTGCATTTGCCAGAAAGAGACAGACAGAGAGACAGAAAGCGAGAAATCACCCCCCTAGAGGGGATGGCCATGCTGCAATCCCTTCTTCTCCATACTCCTCTTGGGATCTTGGACATGCACACACATGGACCTGGCATGAGTTAAAGCCACCGGGTTGGGGACTCGAACCCAGTTGACTACATGGGAGTTCAGTGATATAGCCATTACACCAAATGCTGGTCCCACTTCTCACCATACTTTCAACATACAAAAACTAAACTCAAAGCTAGTAGTAAGAAGACTAAAACTTCCACTATGATAGGTCTCTAATAACTTAAAGTAGAAAAAGCAATACTAGTTAAAAGTCACATACCAGCAGCTATGGGAATTCCAACCAGATTATATATTAGAGCAAAGACAAAATTTATGCGAATCCTCTTGACTGTCTTCCTTGATAAGTCAATACTTGCCACTACATCTAGAAGATCATTCTGAGAACAGAAATATTTGTGGTATTAGTGAGAGACTATAACTTAATTAGTAATTTTTATATTTGATACTGTACATATTATACCTTCAGTTTTGTGAATCAATCAATCAATCAATCATAGACATTACTAAAACTTTGAGTTGGCCTTAGAAAATGTTTTTCAGAAATTTTTCTCAGGATTCTGAAAACACTTTTAGGGTTGTATACTGGTACAGAAATTAAATCTCATTAAAATAACCTCAGCGGATCCAGCAGTTAGCATAATGTCGCTGGACTCCCATGTGGTTGACCGCGGTTCAAGTACCGGACCCGGTGGCTTAAAACTCACGCTGGGCACGTGTGTGTGCGTGCCCAAGATCCCAAGAGGAGAATGGAGGAAAAGGGATTGCAGCATGGCCATCCCCCCTGGGGGGTGATTTCTCACTTTCTGTCTGTCTCTCTGGTGAGTGCACGTGCCCTATAGCAAAAACCTCTCCAAAATAGATAAATAAATAAATAACCTCAGCAAGAAATAAACAACAGATACAAAATTCATGTAAATAGGTATAATAGGTTATGAAACTACTATGTAAATATGTACTCACTGCTGAGTTAATATGTTGCTGACAATTCAATATACATTTCCAGAGAAAAATAAACTAGTAAAACTACTGTGAAATATAATGTTCAATGTTGAAAACAATGAAAATGCCTATATTATTGATTTAATTATTATATTCTATATACATGCTTTGAAAAAAAAAAGACAAAATACCTTACAGAGATGTGTAATGATTATTTGTAAATCAGGACTCATAATTTAAAAATTAAAAAAATATTACCTTGGGGCCAGCAGGGGGTATGTTGGTTAAGGTTCTAGACTCCCACATGGCCAACTATGGTTAAAATTCTGTTCCCAGTGGCTTGAAAATCACGCCAGGTGCATGTGCCCACATGCCCAAAATCTCAAAAGGAGAATGAAGGAAAAGGGACTGTTGCATAGCCAACCCTCCTAAGGGGTGATCTCTAACTTTCCCTCTCTCCATCTCTCCCTGGTGAGCACATGCACCCTATGGCAAAAATGTGAAAAATAATAATAACCTCAGCAAGTATTTGTTGAAGAGAATTTATTATAAATTCACACCTTGGGTCCATCCGTGGCATGATGGTTAATGCAGCTCAATTGATTTCACATGGCACATGGTCAACCATGCAGTTTGAGTCCCAGACCTAGTGTCTTTAAAAAAAAAAAAAAAAAAGGAGAGTGGAAGAAAAAAAAAAAAAGAAAAAAAAGATAAAAGCATGTGTGCACACCCAAATCCCAAAAGAGAAATGGAGGAAAAAGAATTGTTGCATGACGGTCCCCCGTAGGAGATACATTCTCACTTTCCCTCTCTCCTTTTTCTCTCTCTTGCCATCAAGCACACATCGCTTGTAGTGAAATTTTTTAAAAAAAATTCATTCCTATATCTTATTCTTCACCTTAGAAGCTTATATTTCTCACATGCTTAGTTGGATTGAGAATCAGGATAGTAGGACTTGCCTTACTCCTGCCTCAAATTCTCATAATCTTGAAGGCTGGGAGCATGATAATTAGAGAAAAATTACTGTGTTCAAGATGAGGGGACTTCAGAAAGTTTGTGGAAAAAGTGAAATTAAAGTGCAAATTTATTTCGGTGCAAAATATTCTTTCAGTCTATGCATAGTTTCCTCCTTATATACATCGTCCATAAACTTTCTGAAAACCCCCTGTATACTTTATAACACCACTACTGACCATATAGGGCAATCTCATATGTCTCAAAGGTCATGCCATAGGACATACCCTTATCAAAACCACATCAGCTGCTTCAATGGCTACATCTGTGCCTGTACCAATAGCAATTCCAACATTAGCCATTGCCAGAGCCGGGGAGTCATTGATTCCATCTCCTACCATTGCTACCCGTTTTCCCTCTTCTTGAAGTTGCTTCACCTTAGCAACCTTGTGGGAAGGCAGAACTTCAGCAAACACCTTAGTAATGCCAACCTATGTGAGGAAAATAAACTCAAATCATTTCAAGGAATAATACTGAATACCTGAAATATAACTGAGCAATAACAAACTATCATTTTTCACCCACCAGATGTCCACATTTTTAAAAAGAATTATTTAATTTAATTTTATTCATCAACATTATTATTTTTTCAATTTGACCACAGAGCAATAGAAAGAGAGAGAGAGAGAAAGCGAGAAAGCAAGTTGCCAAGTCCAGGACTTGAATCATGGTCAGCCATGTGGGAGTCCGATGCCTTAACCACTATGCCAAATGCCAGCACCCTAATGTCCACATTTTAAAAGACTGATAACACCAGTGATAGCAAGGGTATAGAGAAATGAGCTCTCTCATATACTGTTGGTGGGTGTGTAAATTGGTACTGTCTTTTTGGAGGGCATTTGGCAGCATCTGTTAAATGTGCACATCATTTGATTCAGCAATTCTACTTCTAGTTGCATTTTGGACAGGTTTGCACATGTACAAAAAGATGCATGTCCAAGGATGTTCATTATTGCCCTATTTGCAACAAGGAAATTCTCAAAACCACCTAAATAGCCATTATTAGAGTAATGGTTAAATGATAGATTCAAACCATGGAATTCCATGCAGAAATAACTTTGTATATTTAGAAATGAATAAAGCCCTGAGGTATAAAGATGGTTCGAATTATGGTGTGTGTGTGTGTGTGTGTGTGTGTGTTTGTTTTTTGTTTTGTTTTGTTTTTACATTATAGTGAGTCCATCTGGACATAACTCTATCGTGTCAAGGAGCATCTAGACTCAAAACTAATTTATAATTTTTTTTACCTTATAGTAGGTTTATCAGGGTATTAAATGCATTTCTAACTTACAGTATTTTCAACTTCCAGTGGGTTTATTGGAATGTAACCCCAGTATAAGTCAAGGACCATCCATACAAAATGATCTAGTTGATGTTGAAAATATCAGAACTATAAATTCTTATGTGAACATATATATGCATATGGAAAAGTGGTGGGTATGAATGGACAGAAAACATGGGAAAAGAGTGCCTTAAACTTTTTTTTTTAGAATTATTTTTATTCATTCATTTATTTTCATTTGACCAGAGAGACAGAGAGAGAGAGAGAGAGCGAGAGAGAGAGAAAGAGAGAAAGAGAAAGTGAGAAAGCAAGCTGCAAGATCCAGGACTTGAACCATGGTCAGCCATGTAGGAGTGTCTAGCATCTCAACCACCGTGCCGGAGTGGTTAAGTGATGGTCCTCGAGTGGCTTAAACTTTTTACCTTACATTCTTATACAAGAATGTATTCATACATTACTTGTGCTACTTACCAATATAGGGGAGAAGTAGAAAAGATTGAAAATTTTAGAGGTAAAGTAAATGTGACCGTCAGAAGCAGAAAAATGAGTTTGTCAAAGTGATGCATTAGGAAAATGGCTCCATCAGTGGTGTTCAGGATGGAATAGAGAGGGGTCAAGAGTGGAGCTACTGCCATAATCTGACATGATGAAGACAGCCTAGTTTAGGCTAGCAGCACTGGTAAAGAATATGGGCAACATATCAAAGGAAGCGTCAAAAGAAACTAGAGTATAGAGTCACTCAAACATCCCATGAGCTAAACAAATACTTTTTTATATATCACAGTAATACAAAAAGCCTAAGTCCTTCCAGCAAATGTGTTTTTGTTGTGGTTGCTTTTTGTCATATGGCATGAATGTCTGATAGAGACAGACAGAAAGGGAAAACAAGAAAGCACCTCCTCCCAACAAAGGGTGATGGCCACTTCATAATCCCTTCTCCACTCTCCTCTGTGGATTATGAGCACATATGCACACGTGCCCTGCGTGTTTTTTTAAGCCAATGGTTCTAGGATTCAAGCCAGGCAGTCAGCCACATGGGATCCAGCTGCCTTAACCTCCACACTACTTGCTGGTGCATGCTAATTCTTCTTTAAGAAATCACATATAGTGACTCAATGATAAAGAAAATAATAATATAAATTTGATAGCATCTGAAGGCAAGAAATAAAATGTATATGAAAAAATAAAAGTTACCATCTACTACTCCCACTCAAACAACTAAGTAAGCCAATTACCTGAGAAGCAATAGATCTAGCTGTTTTACTGTTGTCTCCAGTCATCAGAACTACTTCTAAGCCCATAGATTTCAGAATATGGACAGCCAATTCTGCTTCAGGCTTCACTGTATCAGCAATGGCTATCAAGCCACACAGCTCATCTAATTTAGGAGCAGCATAAAATAAAGAATTTAAAATATAGCAAAAGTAGAATAATATTTTGACTTAAAATTTCAGAAAAAAAATTTGATAGGTAAAATGATACAGGGTTTGCTTTAACTCAAAATATCTCTGAGCCCACACCGGCTTTAAACTATAAATCTTGCAACAAACCTCCATTTTTGGTTATGAAAATTTCACAGCATGAAATAAAAGTTACTAATAAGGTGGTAATAGAAAAAAAAGACCTAATAGGATACTAAAAGGACCTTTTTCTTTCCTTAAACAGGTATTTGCCAATAGCCCCAAACACTTTAGACAATTTAAATGCAAATGAAACTGAAAACTAATACTCATTCTTTTTAAAGTTAAAGGGGATAAATAGTAACAAAGCTGGCATTTTTTTTTTCAATTTTTGCCAGAGAGTACATGCACTCACCAGAAAGAGAAAGAGAGAAAAGGAGAAGAAAGCACCCTCAATGGGGATTGTCATGCTGCAATCCCTTCTCTTCCATTTCACCATCCTATCAGGATGTTGGGTACATGTGCACACTTGCCTGGCATATGTGTCAAGTCGCTGGGTCCAGAACTGGAACCATGGAGTTGGTCATGTGGGATCTAGCTGCCTTAAGCACCAGGCCACAGACCTAGCCCCAAAACTAGAATCTTATGATGATAAGAAATTACTGCAAGCATTTATTTTATTCTATTTTAAAAACAAAAATAAAATAGTATATTCTCCATTTCTTCCTGGATTTGAAAAGGCCATGTAAGATACTGCCTTCACATTTAGCAAGGAAGAAATTCACCCTATGAACTAACTTAACAAAAGAAAGCACCTAAAACCTCAAAGATGTTTATTATAGTGTTATTTACAATAGTAAAACATTAGTAATAGCCTAAATTTCCAACAGGTGAATGATTAACTACATATGTAAATTTGATAAATTATGCAGATTAAAATAAAATTAAAAGGAGGCCAGCAGTGGTGTGATGGCTAAGGTGCAAGACTCCCACATGGCCAATCATGACCAAGGTAGCTTGCTTTCTCACTTTCTCTCTTTCTGGTCAAATTAAATAAAAATAAAATATTTAAGTAGTTTTCTTGTCATTTTTTAAGAGAGAATTTTGCTATAGGGCATATGCACTCGCTGGAGAGACAGAGAGACAGAAAGTGAGAAATTACCTCCCAGAAGGGATGGCCACACCGCAATCCCTTCTCCTCCATTCTCCTCTTGAGATTCTGGGAACACACGCACACATACCCAGGTGAGGTGTTTTTTGTTTGTTTGTTTGTTTTTGTTTTTTTGGGGTTTTTTTTGCCATAGGGCGCGTGCGCTCGCCAGACAGACAGAGAGAGACAGAGAGACAGAAAGCAAGAAATCACCCCACAGGGGGGATGGCCACGCTGCAATCCCTTCTCCTCCGTTCTCCTCTCGGGATCTTGGGCACGCACGCACACATGCCCGGCATGAGTTTTAAGCCACCAGGTCCAGGACGTGAACCGTGGTCGACTACATGGGAGTCCAGCGACATAGCCATTATGCTAATTGCTGGTTCCCCCCCGCCCCCAGGTGAGTTTTAAGCTGACAGGTCCAGGATTCAAACCGTGGTCGAATACATGAAGGTCCAGCAACGTAACCATTACACCATCTGCTAGTCCCCTAATAAAGTAAAAGTACAATAAAATAGTATGCAGAAGAGATTTAAAACCTTTATTCAACTGTATTGAGATAAAATGGACATACAATAAAATGTACCCATTTTAAAAATAGCATATAAGATTTCAAAATGTTTGTGGAAGGGATTACCAGATAGCATAATGGTTAGACTCCCACATAGTCAATGGCAGTTCTAGTCCCAGACCTGGCAGCTTAAAACTCAGGCTGGGAGCAAGAGGAGAAAGGAGAAGAGATTGTGACGTGGCCCTTCCCCCCCGCGGGGGGGTGATTTCGTGCTTATTGTCTCTCTCTTTCTCTCTGTCAAGTGCATGTACCCCACAACAAAAATCTAAGAAAATTATTTTTTTAAATGTTTGTGGAGGGAACCAGCAGTTAGCGTAATGGCTATGTCGGACTCCCACGTAGTCGACCACAGTTTGCGTCCCAGACCCGGTGGCTTAAAACTCACGCCGGGCGCGTGTGCATGCATGCCTAAGATCCCGAGAGGAGAATGGAGAAGGGATTGCGGCGTGACCATCCCCCCTGGGGGGTGATTTCTTGCTTTCTGTCTCTATGTCTCTCTCTGTCTGTCTGGCGAGCGCACGCGCCCTATAGTGAAAAACTTCTCAAAAAAAAATGTTTGTGGAAATATGGAATTAATTGGATCAGCCAGGTGGTATGGTGGCTGAGGTAGCTGGATCCGATATGTCCAAATACATGGTTCAAGTACCAGATCCTTAGAAAACACACCAGCTGCATGTGTATGCATGCCCAAAATCATGAGAAGAGAATGGAGAAAAGGGAATTGTGGTGGCCATACCCCCAGGGGGTGCTTTCTCACTCTCCCCACCCCCCACCCACCCCCTGTGTCTCTGGTGAGTGCATGTGCCCTCTAGTGAAATTTTTTAAAAAAGAAAAATGGAGTTAAAGAACAAGTTTATTTTATCGCAAAAAAAAAAATTGAAATCCATGCATAGTTTTTCATAATATGCATTTCCTATCAACTTTCTGAAGACCCCCTCATATATACTATTGTATATTACAATTCTTTTTTAAAAAGATACATATATATCAACTAAACAAGGGATGGAATATGTGAAATTAAAACTAAAACTGTCTTAAAATAATGTGACTATTGATATTATTTTACTTTGCTAATATTTTACTGTTACGCTCTTTTCAGGTTAAAAAAAGAAACCTTGATTAGCTTTTGTTGAAAATAGACTAGGGAAGAAAATAACAAAAGGTGGGCAAAAGCAAAAGAATTTTGAACCAGTAACACTCATATGTTGTTGACATTTTCACTTTAAATTCAAGCTGTTTTTGAATAACCCTCATAGTTCAAGTCTCTCAAAAGTACACAAAAAACAATAATTGAGAGCATTACATTGAGTCATAGTATATTTATGGGAAAACCTTACCATCTACTGCCACCAATACAGCAGTCCGACCTTTTCTCTCGTGTTCAGTCATGAAATCATCTACATCATTATTAATGACAAGACCATTTCTAGTCATCCATTCCCGGTTACCAATGAGGACTTTGTACTGCTGAGCACTAAGACCATCTGAAAGTAAGCATGAAAATATTATTTAATAAGTTCATTTAGTTTTTATAACAAACCCATGATACAAGTTCTTCCCATCTAATCTTGCACAGTCACTACATTTTATTTTTGGTAGAACATGGCCTATACAACAGTGATTTTCAGATTTGCGAGGAACATACTCTGCTTTTCCATGACTCTGGCCATTGTACACATTGCTGACTTCACTTAAATGTCCCTAACCTTCCTCTCTAAATAGCAAGCTCTATCATATTCTTCAAGCATCAGTTCAAATATCACTTTCTTCATGAGACTTTTCCTTTGACTTTACATTGCAATTCAATTAAAGTCAAATTATTCATTGTGCATCAGTAGCTGAATATGGCTGGACAAAAATATACAATGATGCTGATGTCCCACTCTAAACTTGTGACCACCAACTTTAAGTGGATCTTTAGAGTCGCCTGGCAATTCGATCACATTTCCCTAGTCCATTCATTCTCCATTTCTTCTACATGGTTAGTTCATAACTTTTCCTCCCCCATTTTCATACCAGATGATGATATAGTTTCGTACTTCAGAAAGAAAATAAAACCAATCAGAAGAGAACTTTCACAAGTTCTTATTGCCACACCTCCTCAACCACCTGTGCCTCTTATGTCCATATAATCTATCCTCTCTTCTATTATTATAAATTGACCCTGCTCCTATTTAAAGATTTTATAACAACCTCTCCACCTGTGTACTAGATCCCCTTCATTTGTCTATTCTAGAACATCTCTCCCACGATTTACTCCTCTCCTGTAAAATCAACCCTTTTTTTAATCTCTGCTGTACACCATACTATATTTAAAAAACAAACAAACAAACAAACAAAAAAAAACCTCTCTTGGTCTCACCGATCTCTCTAGCTACCACATTTCTCTGCTTCTGTACATAGTAAAACTTCTCAAAAGTGTTGTCTCTATTGGCTGTCTTCAATTCATATCTTCCCATCCTCTTGTGAACCCACTACAAAATAAAGCTTTTCTCTCTACTACTACAATGAATTGTTCATATAGTACATCAATGACCTTTAATAAGCTTAATTGTAAAATCTCAGTCCTCAGAGAATGTGGGAGGAGGGTGTGAAATGGCAGACGGTGAGAAATAGGGAATAAAAAATTTACACATACACACATATATAAGAAACAAAAAATGGAAAATTAATTGTTGACGATAATAACTGATATGATTAAGCCACTATACAGTGTATTCTGGATGGGAAATCGTGTTTTGTATGCTGTGATGATGTTCAGTGAATAAACGTAAAATTAAAAAAAATTCTCAGTCCTCATCTTACTTGCCCTATTAGCAGCATTTGACATAGTTGTTTATTCCTTTCTTCTGGAAATAGTTTCTTCACATGGTTTCTAGGTCACCACACTCTTATGAGTTATCTCATTTACCATTTGTTCTTCATCTTCTTTGCTGATTCTTTCACTTCTCCCTGACCTCTTACTCTGTAATGCTGTGGAATTCAGTCTTCAACTATTTTTCTCTATATCCTCTTATACCTTGGTGATCTTATCTAGACTCAAGGCTTTTAAACACCATCTACACCAGCACTGTCTCAAAGAACTTTCTCTGATGATGGAAATGTTCTGTATCTGCACTGTTTGATACAATAGCCACTAACGCATGTAGTCATTGAACATTGAAATGCTCAATGACTAAAGAGCAGATTTCTTTTTTGCCATAGGGTGTGTGCACTCACCAGAGAGTGAGAGAAAGAGAAAGAGAGAAAGTGAGAAATCATCCCTCAATGGCGGTGGTCACACTGCAATTCTTTCTCCTCCATTTTCCTCTTTGGATTTTGGACATGCACACTCATGCACCCAGCATGATATTTTTTTTTTTTTGGAGAGGTTTTCGCTATAGGACGCGTGTACTCGCCAGACAGACAGAGAGAGACATAGAGACAGAAAGCGAGAAATCACCCCCTAGGGGGGATGGTCACGCCGCAATCCCTTCTCCATTCTCCTCTCGGGATCTTGGGCATGCATGCACACGCGCCCAGCGTGAGTTTTAAGCCACCGGGTGCGGGACGCGAACTGCGGTCGACTATGTGGGAGTCCAGCGACATAGCCATTACACTAACTGCTGGTTACCCCCAGCATGATTTTTAAGCCATCAGGTCAAGGACTCTAAATGCACAGTTGGTCATGTGCAATCTAGAGCCTTAATCTCCATGCCACCTGCTGGCTACAAGGAGCTGAATTTTAAATTAAATTAAATTTTAATTAATTAAAATTTTAAATTTAGTCACATGTAACCAATGGCTACTGTATTGGACACCACAGACATATAAGTAAATGAATACTAAATCCAAGCTCTGACTTCATCAGTTTCCTGGCACTCCATACTTGTGTGGTCAAATGCCTACGTGGTATTTCCATTTATATGACATCTCCATTCGAAATCTAATAGGTCCTCAAACTTAACATGTATAAAACTGAACTCCTGATCTTTTCCCCAATATTGTCCCTCCTGTGGTTCCCCATCATATTTAAATGGCAACTCCAGGGGCCAGGCAGTGGCACAGCAGTAATGCAACTGGACCCACATGGGAAAGGTCCTGGGTTCATGTCCTGGGACCTCCCTGAGCATGCCAGGCGCATGTGTGTGCATGACTATGATTTAGGCTGACTGAGACTGGAGGCATACTGCACTGTGAAGCCCCTGTTGCAAGTGCCCATCTCTCTGTCCATCTGTCTCCCTTTCTCTTGAAAGAAATAAGCAAACTCTAAAAAAATTTGAAGCCCCTGTTGCGAGTGCCCATCTTCCTGTCCATCTGTCTCCCTCTCTCTTGAAAGAAATAAGCAAACTCTGAAAAAAAATTTAAATAAATGGCCACCCCATCCTTCTCACTGCTAAGGCCACAAACCTTAGTATAATTCTTGACTCCTGTTTTTCTTATACCACATATATCCAATCCATAAGAAAATCTCATGTTTTCCTTCAAAATACATCCAGAATTTGACTGCCTCTTACTATCTCTATTGCTACCATTCAGGGTTCAAGCCATCAATATCTTTCATCTGGATTACACTAAGAACCCACTAACCTATCTCCCTGCTGCTGCCCTTGTCCCCACTCCCACAGTGTATTTTTAGCATAGCAGCCAGAGTAATACTTTTTAAATGCTAAGTCACATTCTGTCCTTGCTTTACTAAAATCCCCAAATAGCTTCCCATCTCATGGTAAAAACCAAAGTCCTCTTAATGTCTTTACATGATGTGGTCCTGCACTATCTCTCTGATCTCATCTCTTACCTCTTTCCCACTCATTTACTCTGCTCTTGCCATACTGTACTCCTTGCCCTTTCTCAAACAAGGCAAGCATACTCGTGATTCAGACTTTTTTTTTTTTTGAGAGTTTTTCTTGCTATACAGCGTGTGTGCTCGCCAGACAGACAGAGAGAGACAGAGAGACAGAAAGCAAGAAATCACCTCCCAGGGGGGATGGCCACGCCGCAATCCCTTCTCCATTCTCCTCTTGGGATCTTGGGCACGTATGCGCCTGGCGTGAGTTTAAGCCACCGGGTCTGGGACTCGAACCGCAGTCGACTACGTGGGAGTCCAGCGACATAGCCATTATGCTAACTGCTGGCCCCCTGATTCAGGCTTTAGTCTTTACTTTTCCTCTTATCTAGAATGATCCTGTCATAGCTATTCACATAGTTTTCTCTATGTAGTCCTCAGGTCTTTGCTTAAATACTATCTTCTGAGTGAGGCCCATCCTAATCACTCTACATGAAACAGGAGCCACTTAGAACTCTTTCTACCTTTTCTTATTCTACTTCATCTTCTTCTATTGCACAATCTCAACTGAACATACTATATTATTTATTTGCTCACTGTCTGTGTTTTCTCATCAAGAATGTAAGCCCCTTGGGGCCAGCAGGTGGTATGGTGGTTAAGGCGCTGGACTCCCACATGGCCAACTGTGGTCCAAGTCCTAGACCTGGCAGCATGAGAACCACGCCAGGCATGTGTTCATCCATGCCCAAAATTCCAGTAGGAGAATGGAGAAGGGACTGTGGTGTGGTCATCCCTCCAGGGATGATTTCTGACTTCCCCTCTCTCTCTCTCCAGCGAACAGAAGTGCCCTATAGCAAAAACCTAAAAAAAATACATATTTTTTAAAACTGCTGTCAGCCAACTAAATTAGAAGAAAAAAGGCTAAATAAAGTAATATAAAAAATTATAGTTTCTCCATTAAAAAAAACTGAAATAATGTAAGCCCCACAAGACAGAAACTCTATCCTGCTCACTGTTGATTCTTCAGTGCATTGAATGATGCATAACATACAGCAGGTGTTCAATAAAAGCTGTCAAATGAATTTCCTATGTGTCAGTGTGCTTGATACTAGAAGTTCACGGACAAATAAAAAAGAAGTCACAAACTAGTAGAAACAGGCTGGTAATATAATCATCATGTAATGTGCCTAGTATAGTTAAGATATTAGTATAGTTATGATTCAAGAAGAACAAATATTTCTTCTGGTGTATGTCAGTCAGTGAAGAAATAAATGAAGAGGGAACCAGCAGTTAGTGTAATGGCTATGTCGCTGGACTCCCACGTAGTTGACCGTGGTTCGTGTCCCGACCCGGTGGCTTAAAACTCAAGACGGGCGGGTGTGCATGTGTGCCCAAGATCCCGAGAGGAGAACAGAGGAGAAGGGACTGCGGTGTGACCACCCCCCCGGGGGATGATTTCTCGCTTTCTGTCTCTATGTCTCTGTCTGTCTGGCGAGCACACGCACCCTATAGCGAAAATCTCTCCAAAAA